TGCATTTCTTGCCCCAGTCCTAGGATCAGCTATTTCTCCAAGGAGCCCTGATTTCTATCATTAGCTGATTTTTTTCACATTATAAAGCATTCACATGAATAGAATTTTTCAAAGGATGAGATAAAGTAAAAACAAATGGGATAGCTATATTTTTCAGATGTAGATATGTAAAAGAATATTAAAGATTCTTGTGAAAGATCACATCACACGTAGAGGAGGGAGTCCGAGGGCTGGCAGGTGGGGGACAAAGACTACAGCAGGATAAAGGGCTGGAAACATCAGCTGAAAAGGACATCAAGGGTTGGTGCCTGGGTGCTGCTGTTGCCATCTACTCCCGTGAGCGGCCTCCAATAGGGGCCCTCTGATTCTGAGCCAGTCAGAATACCTCCTGAGTGCCCCCCATCTGCACCTGCTTCAGTGTCTTTGGCTTACATGAATGAATGTAGCCTAAAACTCCACCCAAGAATGGGGGACACTGGGTATCAGATAGTAGGAGGTGTTGGCAGCTGCAGCAAGGGGTATTTTGGGATGATGACAGTGTCCTGGTTTCTTTAAAATGTACTAACATCTAAAGGAAAAGTAACTTAATTTACTCTAATTTCCACCCCAAAGGGCCAGCCAGAGTGACTATTGAGCTAAGTTTCAATAGTGTTCCTTCCGTGCCTGTAGTGTAAGTTGTTTTTAGCTCCCAATGTTCAGGAAGGTGGAATGTGGGTATTTGGGGAACATATTCAGTCTACCCTATTAAGTTTGGAGGCTTGCCTGACTGAGGCTGAAAATGCCAGCCTTCACAATCAAGGAAGGAAGTACGTGGTAGTTGTGCCTAGGGAGGAGCTTGCCCTGGGCAGGAAAAGGCAACTGTGATTGCCAGGCTACCAGGCCAGCATCACAGCTAGGATACAGGAGCCAGTCTTAGGGCTGGCAGTCTCTCTGCCTGCCCTGTTTGCAAAATCAGATGCTAGTATTGCTTACCCATTGGGAAGGAACAAAGGCTCCATGATAATAGCTGCTGGGCAGTTCCAGTTGCTGCAATATAAAGGCATCAAGAATTGGGTGGTGAGTAGGAACCTGGTTAAAGAAACCGTGATATAGCCATACAATGGAATATGCATAGTTTAAAAAAAAAACAGCAAAGCACCGCTTGAGAACTGCAGGCCTCTCGCACACAACCACTCTGTCCAAACCTGCACTGAGACTTGACCAAACTATGGCATGACTTCTAGCAGCATAAGGCTACGATGTCTCCTACAGCCCAGAAGCACGTCATGAACCTGAGAGCCATTCCTTTGAAAAATACTCATCAGGAAGGACAGGGCATCTGTCTTCCTGCTCCGTGGAAGGATGGACTCCTGACTTTCATACTTCACAGCTAGCAGACACACCTGGCCTAATCGCATCTACACTGACCAGCTCTTTCGTTTTTCACTTCTCTGACTCTACTGAGCCCCGTTCCCCCCACCTGCACCCCATTCTCCTTTTAAAATGTCCAGTCAAATCGCATGGCGCTCAGCTCTTGCCTCTGCTGTCAGTTGTTACCGAATAAAATCTCTTTCCACCACATTAACTACTATCCGATTGTGTTTGTCTTTGACACGCTGCATGTTTGTTTTTTTTATTGAACAATCGCTAAGATTTGTGTCACACACACAGAGTGGGACAGGTCAGCAGCATATGGAATACTCCCATTTTTGAACCAAAACAGTTCAGAACAGGTGAGTGTAGGGGGTGATCCTTGTTTAGGAGGCTGGATCCGGCGCTGGGTTGGAATTTGCCCTCCAGGTCCCCAGCATGGAGGCCCGGCGCCTGTGCTCTCGGGTGGGTGCCCTCGTGCAGACAAGCCGTAGTTTCCCCACGGCTGACGACTACTCTAGGTCTCGCGAGTATATACTCCGCCATTCTGACCGCCCCGGATGCTCCCGCGCCCGGAGCCCACAGACTGGCGCCGCGAGAGAGCTGGGAAAACCGGAAGTTGGAATGGGGCAGCCGGACGGGAAACGCGAGCACACCGGCCACGGTCAGACAGCACCCGGGTGACCCCCCCACCCCACTCCGCGGGGCTGCCGTCGGGGACGCGGACGGGAGCGCGCAGGTGAGGGCGGCTGGGTGGTGCCGTGGAGGGGCGGGGCCATAGAGGCGTCAGCCAATCATCGGCGTCTCCCTTGGGGGAGTAGGTCGTTGCCTGGACGACGTGCACCAGGCGTCTGTGTTCTTGGGCTGCGGAGCTGGGTGGAGCCGCTGGTGCGCGCGCTGTTCTTGGTCCTCCCGCGGCTCCGAACGCGTACCTTGTGGCTGCCTCGTATTAGGGGACCGGGCCGCGAAGTCGTCTCCGCGACTCGGGGTGAACGGACCGCCGGCCGCGTGAGCTCCCACGACCTTGTCTCCAGCGGCCCTAGGGGTTCTTAGTTGTTTTTCTTCTTTGAAAAAGTTTATTCCTGAGACCCCACCTATCTAACACATATACTAGTTTTCTTTTCTTTTTTTTCGATGGTCAACATTTGCTTGGCTGTTTACTCGATTATTCCTGTTTTTCTTGGCCTCTCCCACATTCCTTTATACCTGTGGTCTTCTTCCTAAGGCTAGGTCTCTGTATTGCCTTGTCTCCAATCTGACTTAACCGCCTTAATTAGTACAAAGCAGTTGTTTTTCTTCAGATGATTCTTTTTTCTAGTTATTATTCTGGGTGTTTTTTTTAAGATCATCTTTAAGACCTGAGTTAACTCTCAGGCTAATCTCTGAGGGTAGATAATGATTTATTTCCTAAAGGTGGCGTCTTCTTGCTCAAGCTTGGTTAAACCACCTGATACCAGACTTGGCATTTGTGAGTGTTTCCCGTGCCTGAAGCTCCAATAAGTGCCTTCACCCATGATATTTGGCTTTGTAACAGGCTCCTGAGGTGAGTACATCCTTAAACTGGTGGCTTGTGAGCTGGACAGCAGGTGTTGTCTGTTGTAGTAGTATGGAGTTCTTACGTTTTTTAATTTTAATCATGAACATTTAAAAGTCAGAATATTTCACAAAGAAATCTAATTCTTTTTGGGTTTTTTTGAATAATCCTGAGCTCCCAACTACTAAACAAAATATGGTGTCTTGAGACTTCTGAAGTTCCTCCCCACTCTGGTCTTACACCCAAGACACTGGTTATTTGTGGTATTGCCTGGCTGCCAGATGCATTCAGGTTTTAATCTCTGCTTTACTTATTGACTCACCCTGCCTGGGTGCCTTTCTGAACTCTTTCAGGGACTGAAATTCCCACACTGCAAATGTGAAAGCCCTTCCTCCTAGAGCCAGCTCTGGAAGGAGGTTTCCTCTCATTTCCTAGGAGTTAATGTCTGTCATATAGCAGGTGCTCAATAAATATTATTTTAGCAGTTAAATAAATGTTGAGACTTCATTTGGTTTAGTTTAGGCGATCCTCTGATGGTATCCAAACCTCTGGGCTTTCCCAGTATCCCTCAAGTGTCCTTTTTGTCTGGCAGAGAAACTTTTGCCCAGGAATCAGGACATATACCCTCTTTTTGGAATCATTGCACTCTTGGGACTGCTGTGGGCTGAGATGGTCCATTTCAAGAATAGGTTCCCTTACTCTGGACACTGGCTATGCCTCTTCTTGAAGGAGAAATGCTCACAGGCTGAGCAGTTAATCTCTCCAGGGCTCCTTTTGGCTTTTTCTCAGTTTATAGCTCTCTCTGGCTTGAAAACAATATTGACTTTTGCTACACCTTTGTACATCCCTCTTTACCTTGAGAATTAAAATGCCTGGAAATACAGGCCAGAGATAAACTCCAGGGCTAATTTTTCTTTCATCAAAGTCACAGTAGAATGAGTCTGAATCTTAGTACCTACCCCTAAAACATTTTGACTCCAAAAGGAGAGTTGCAAACCTGAAATGCCTTGGGGGCCAAGTGGGAACCAAATATGGCAACTTGAGAGCAGGCTTTGAATGTGGGGAATACAGGTCTAGGGTTGCCAGATGTTCTGATTTTTTCAAGAAAATCAATTTTATGAGACTTCTCCTAATTTGTAAATATTGAAAACTAAGTTTTTAAAAAAGAAAGTAAACCCTTGTGAGCCTTCATAGCATGCCCATGGGCTGGTACAGGGGCTAGTCACGGCTGTCTTACTGAGTGAAGTGAATGCGTCTCATAGGACTCTGATGGGCTGAAGGTGTTGGCCATAGGAACGTTTCCTGGAGGATCCTTCCTGGAATCTGCCTCCAGGGCTGGCCCCCACCCCTTTCCTGACTGAGAGGTGGACTGTGAAGCCACCGGGGATGTCTCAGTGTCTGGGACCCCAAGGATAGTTGGGTTGGACCCCTTTACCCTCCCTGTCCCCAGCCTTGAGAGGGAGCTGGGAGTAGGGGGCATTTAGAAAAATCAGATTGATCCCACATCCTTCCAAGATGTAGGGCATCAGGGCTGGGGGTAAAGGGGAGATCCCAGGCCTCTCTGTTTCATAAGTTCACTCTTATAAGGAGAGAACTCTATCTTAGCCTTGAAGGGAATCTAGAGTATCTAATGACCAGCCTAGGGGCCTTAAATTAAATCCAGGGACATCGCTACATAGACACCATAGACCTTCAGAAGCCCTGAAGGATGCTGAAAAGGACCACCATGCCCCTCCACCCAGCAAGGTTCCCTTCTTCTTGTGAGGACAGCTGCAATGCTCTCTTTGAAGTATCAAATATAAAAATTCTCCCACAAAATATATTTTCCCATTTTGCCTCTGCTGGTATCACAAGCACATGCCCGGTAAAGTGATCGTGAGCCAGCAATACAGATCTGGGAGTCATCTCCTGGCCAAGAGCAGGTGCAGCCTGGCTCCAGACCACAGACCCGGAACCTTGGAAGCTGGGAACCCTGTAGGACTGCAGCTGCTCGGGGAACAGGATCTGGGAGGGACTTCCTGTTGTCCCTAATCCCGGTCTCCACTCGGCTCCCCATTCCTGGTGCAGGCTGCGGAGACTCCCTTCCCAGGATAGGGGGCCCCGCCTCCTGAGGTTCCCCCTCTGTCTCCACCTCAGTGAGTGGGGGGCAGCGGCTGGGGAGGGCGCCTGTATCCCAAGACACTCACAGTGTGGCCAGTTGGCAGGAGGAAACGGGGTCAAAGGTGGAAGGCTTGGAGAGAAGGGGGCCTGGACCCCGGCTGGGTAAGGGGAAGACATCCTCTGGGAATGAGAGCAGGATGGCCTCATGGGCCCGGGAGGTGATTGCAGCCACAGGGTGGGCTGCTGAGAGCAGGCAGCTCAATTTCTGGATCCCAGACGGGGCCGAGTCAGGCTGAGCACAGGGTATATGAGTATGTGTGTCCTGGCCCAGGAGACAGCAGGGCCAGCTGTGGTGGGCGGGATTCCTCAGCTGAGCTAGCTGTGGTGGGCGGGTCCCCACCCCCTACCCCGACCCAGCACCTGTTTTGAGTTTTGTAGGATCTCTGCAGACCTTCTGACTCCTGATGACAGGAGATACAGATTCCTAGTCAGCTCTGGCTTTCCCTGAGCTGGCTGCTCTGAGATGCTGGGCTCTGGCTTCAGTGACAAAGGGGACAATACAAAATAGCATTCTGTTGAAGTGAGGGACCAAAAAACGTAGAGAGGGATGTTGGGTAGCATCAGGGAGGCTTTGTTTCTGATTGGGAACAGGGATGGGTCTGGTCCTGCATGGGGATTTTAGGGGGCACTTCAGAGGTGCAGGAGGCACTGGCTGATTTCCTTTTGCTCTTCCAGGTTCCTGGCTAGAGGCTGGAGGGGGCTTGGCCAATAAGAGGGAGGAGAAACGACTCAGCTGTGCTTTTTAGCTCTGCGACAGAAAATGTCTGCAGATGGTGGAGGCATCCGGGCTACCCAGGACAAGGAGAGAGCCCAAGAGGTATGGACGGGGCGCCAGGCAGGGGAGGCATGCCCTGGAAGGAAGTGGAGCAGGACAGCATCTTCACGGTGGGCCATCTGGACCAATGGAAGAGTTGGACTCACTGGGGGAGCAGGGCTGGTGGAAGGAGGGTATTGAAGAGAAAGTAGTACAATCGGAAATACCTTCCACCTGGGAATCAACTTCTGGAGAACTCCATTGCTTAGCCTGATGAATTCCGTAGTTAGCAGACCAAGGGCCACATGAGGTAGCAGGGAGGCCGTTTGGGGGTCCTACTGGTGAGGCTGGCTCTCTGAACAGCACGCAGAGCACACAGGGAAGCTTCAGTCTACCCTCCACTGCCCTTGGCCTGGGACCTCATCTCCCCTCTCTAGGTCTGAGCACATAGGCCTTTCTGTACCTGTGCGTGCGTGGGTGCATGTGTGTATACAACCTTTGAGGATACCAGAGTTACCAGGCTTGGAATCAGGAATATGAGTCAGCCTTAGGCAAGCGTGTGACCTTGGGCAAGCCCCCTGGCCTCTGGGAACCAGGTGTGTGATTTATAAAATGTTGATCATGTGCCTGTTATTCCCATCTCACCCAGGCCGTTGGGAACTCGGAGGAAACAATGGGCACAAGAGTCCTCTGTAAACCGTTCATCAGCCCACAGGAGATCATTATTGTAACACGTAAAACAAGAATATCCACAGCAACTGGAATCTAGGTCAGAGAGACCTGTATCCCCTCACCTAGTAATTCCAGTGGTTATAAGTATAAATAGAAATATAGTATTAGTTATATGGTTTTCCTGCCACAGATGCACAAATAATTGTTACCACTGTTTGGTTTCCCTTCCACAATGCCTCTGTCACACTGACGGGCCTCACACATCCACGACGTTCTCTGCCGATGTTGGGTCTGTCAGCTCACACAGTATAGTAATAATAATTATAGGCTTCGTTCTATGTTTATCCAGAACTTCCCAGAGTGGGCAGCACTTTCTCATGTGTTATCTGTGCGGGAGGCAGAGCAGCTGAGTCTCTGAGGCTGCCTCGCCCTTGTGGCTCCCAGGCACTCTGACTCCTGGCCTGGGGTCTTTCCCTTTAAGACCCTAACGCAGACAGAGGTGGGAAGGGGTGGGAGAGGGATGGACATGAGTTGCCAGTAGAAGGCCAGTCAGTCCCCATACTGTGGATGACAATGAAGCTTCACCAAGGGCCTCCCAGTGTAAGGGAAGTGACTTTCCCGAGGCATTTGAGGTTTGTGGGGAGGCGGTGCCTGCTCAGGGTTAAACAGCTAGTGAGGAATGGCTCTGGATTTGAGCCCCGGTCATCTGACTAAAATCTGCTCCTCACCCTCCCAGAGGGCTGGGTCTGAGACTTGTGTGACGAAGAGGGGACGAGTTGGGAGGACTGAAGTCCCACTGTTGGGGGGATGGTGCTGAGGGGCTGAGCCAGAGAGGAGTTCTTCTGTCAGGCCAAGGTGGGCACCAGGCCTCAGCGCACTTAGTGACACCCTTGGACTTTTTTCTCCAAACCAAAAAACTCCAACTGCTCTGACCAAATTGAGGCAGGCCGAAAACGGCCTAAGGACATATGATGCTGCTCCATCACCTTTAAGAGATGGTGGCCCTGAAGGTGACTTGGAAGTCAGATATACTTGAGTTCAAATCCTGGCTGAGTCGCTCACGAGCTCCATGATCTTGGGCCACTGTCTGATCTCTGAGCCTGGGTGTGTTAGTGTTCGGGGGCTGCCATAACAGAGGACCACAAACTGGGTGGCTTAAAATAACCAGAATTTATTCTCAGAGTTCTGGAGGCCAGAAACCCAAAATCAAGATGTTGACAGGGCTCCCTCCCAAAGGTTTAGAGGAGGATCCTTCCTGCCTCTTCCAGCTTCTGGGGGTTTCAGGTGTCCCTTGGCTTATGAGAGCATCACTCTAATCAGCTTCCGTCTTCACACAGCCTTTTCCTCCATGTCTGTGTCCTCTCCTCTTTTTATAAGGACACCACTCATTGGATTTAGGACCCAACCTAAATCCAGGATGAAGTTCATCTCAAGACCCTTACCTAATTAATTACATCTGCAAAGATCATTTTTCTAAATAAAGTCACTTTCTGAGGTTCCCAGCAGACATGAGTTTGGGGTGTACACAGCTCAACCCACTGCACTTGGTCTCCTCATATATTAAAAATAACAATTTATACTGCTGTGGGAGGTGTGAGGCTTGAGTTGAGACAAGGCAGCTGCCCGTTGGGCACTTGGCCAGCCTACACCTGGCAAGGCCCTAATGAGCTGCCTGCCTTCCCTTTCAGGGGTGAGCTGGAGATGCAGTCCCGGGGGACTGGAAGGAAGCAAGGCCAGTCCTTTAAGCTGTGTCTTACATCTGGTTGCGCGTTTGGCCATCCTAAGTGTCTGCTCCTGCAGGGGCCCCCAGGCATGGAGGGCATGGAGCTCGGCTGTCTCCCACTCTCTATTCCCAGTGCTGATGGGGGCTGCCATTCCTAGGTTCCAGGTCATGGGCATCCTTGTCGAGAAATACTTTCCCAGTCAAAGGAGACGGTGCCTTTGGGAGCCACTCAGGAGTCACCCCACATCAAGACAGAGCCTCAAGAGCCACATCCCGAGGGGGCATCGCAAGAGGACAGGGCTCAAGGAGCTCAGGGCTGGGTGCCCCTAAGCCAGGGCTCGAAGGAGAAAGCTCTCTTCCTGCCTGGTGGAGGTGAGGAGAGGGATGTGGAGAGGGGCACTTCCTTGAGTGGCAGTTGTGGGGAGAGGTGGAGGCCTACAGCCCAAGAGGGGAAGAAGCCCCTGCCATGGTCAGCACAAGTGGATGTCTGCCCACCTGCCTTTTGGAGGCCACCCCTCGCAGCCTCATAGCCTACTGACCCTCTTCTTGGGTGGGGTCGGGGTGGGGTTTGAGGCAGCCATGGGTGTGCCAGGCATGAGCCCATTCAGGGGGAGCAGCAGGGCCCAGCAGGATGAGGTGGCCGCCCTGAGAACCTCTCTCCTCTCTCAGCCCTCCCCTCCCCCCAGATCCCTGTGCTTTCCCATGAGGGGAGGACCAGAGACCAGCAGATGGCGGCGGCGCTCCTCACCGCCTGGTCCCAGGTGAGTGTTCCTGTCCAAGGCTGGAAGAGAGAGAAAGATGTGGAGGGACAGTGGCTCTGACTGTATTGCCCTCCAGATCTGAGCACTGGACTCGAGGGTGGGGGCTAGACAGGAACGTGCTGGAGATCCAGAGCTTTAGCTGTGGTGTCAGAAAAGAAGACCTGTCTTGTTTTTGTCTCCTGTCTCCTGCTGTACACAACTGCTTTGTTCTTGCCTCAAAACAGCCATCCTTGGGCAGCTCCTTCACCGTCAGACCCGAGGGCAGGCCTCCCTCAGGGCAGCAGGTTGGGAGTTTGGAGTCTCAGCCTCATCTTGGCGCCATTGGGCCCCTTCACAGTGTCCTGGCATGTCCTGCAGAGTGGGCATTTCATGTTGTTTCAGATGCCAGTGACCTTTGAGGACGTGGCTCTGTACCTCTCCCGGGAGGAGTGGGGGCGGCTGGACCACGCACAGCAGAGCTTCTACCGGGATGTCCTGCAGAAGCGGAACAGGCTGGCCTTGGGTAAGGGCTGATGCTTCCTGAGGCCCTGGATGTCAGAGGTGGGGCCCGTCACACTGTCACCTCCCTGCTTTCCAGGGCTTAAAACCCCTGCCATTGTTCACGTAGATTGCGCCATTCTATAGAACCTTCCTAATGATGGACATGTCCCATATCTGGGCTGAGATGGTAGCCATGAGCCACATGGGGCTGTTGAGCACGATAATGTGGCTAGAGCAACTGAATAGTTTATTTCATTTTAACCTGCTCAAATTTGAACTGAAATAGCCACACTGTACTAGACAGTGCTGACCTAGAATTTTTGCTTCTTTCTGGTTCTTTCACGGTGCTTATTCCTGTGGTTTCACCTTCCTTTTCTTCAAAGCCCAGCTTTAGAAGTGTCTGAGCAGAAAGCTTGGCCCTGGGGTCAGGGCTGCATGCCCATGGTGGGTGGAACATGGTGCCAGCTAATCTATCCCGACCCATAGACTCTGAGTTGTCACATCCACCTTGAAGGGCATGTCCTCTTCTCTGAGGGGCCTTGGCTCCATCGGTTTTTCTAATAGTAAGAGTTAAGTCCCAGGACTTTGATTCCTCACTTGCAGACTCAAGTTTTCTCGACAGATTTTTATGAGACCTATTGGAAAACTCAGTGTTCATTCATTAATTCATTATTCATTCATTCATTCATTCTGTCAACGCATGTCTGTTGCATACCTACTAGTCCAGGTGGAGATGGGGGCTTGGTAATGCCACCTCTCGACTTCAGTGCTGGGCCGAGACCCCTGCTGTCACTGGCAGACCCCAGGATCACAGCTACCCTGCTCACTCCTTTAATTATCTCAGGTTTGCTTACCACCTGTTGTTGACACTCCCAGGGCCCAGGTCTGGGCAAGTCCTGGGAGATCAGAGGGAGCCTAGCACCCATTTGCAGCCCCATGGCAGGCCTCACAGACTCCTTAAACCACCTGGTTGGTCCAAAACATTCCCTTCCTCCCATGGGGCTTGGATTAGGGCATGGAGGCCAGGCCACCTGCTCTCGTACTGAATTGACCAGAACCCCTGGGCCCTCACCTATAGACTTGGCAAATGGACCTTTGGTCCCTGACTTCTGGGTGGTCGATGTCCTTGGCCCTCTTGTCTTAGGCCCTCCCACTTGGCCTCTCTTTGCCGCTGGCCCTCCCCCAAGAGCCCTTTTTGCCCATGATCCTGGGCAGGTACAGGAGTGGGAGACTGTGTTTGGTGTCCAACATTGCTGGGCCCACCGCTGGGGCTGTATGAGGAAGGGGGCTGCCAGCAGCTGACCTGGCCCAGCCTCTCTCCCTTTACTTCTGATGGTCATTCAGAGAAACAAGATAGAGTCCCGACTCAACCCTGAAAAGAGTGTTGGGACCTTGGAACATGCTTCCAAGAGAGGTTGGACACCTGAGCCCAAGCAGTCTTTGCACTCATGTGGTTTTACCCGGTGTTTCCAAAGATGCATCTACTCCCCTTTTGCTCTGTCACTTCTCAGGGGGGTGGTGTCTACTGCTGAGCAGCCCATAAGGTCCATGACTGAGCACAGCATCTCTTTTTGGGCAGGGTTTCCCTTCAGCAGAACTTTCTGGACCTCCCAAGTTCAGAGCAAAGGCGAGGCCTCAAGCTCATGCCAGCAGACAGGAGATGAGGAAAAGAGAGGTGCGTGCAGAGGTGATGGGGGGACAGTGGGATCATCACTGCCACTCCCAGGTGCACCTTGTCAGTGCAGGCTCTTGTTTCCTGTGGGGTGCAGACACATGGTCCTTCCTGGGGCAGGGCACCAGCCTCCCCTCCTCTACAGAGGGTGGTTCTCACTTCCAGGGTTCCCCTCAGGTCCTTGCCCTTGTCTCCATCTCTGGAATTCCCTTGGGTCCCTCACAAAATCCTCTTTCTGGCTGGAAAACCCTTTTTCCAGGAGCTTTGGAGGTGGGGAAGGAGGAGACACCGCCATCCCCAGCACCCCCTGGGGATGTGAAGTCCTTCAGAACCAGGGCAGGGAGAGCCCAGGGGCAGGTACTGCAGTGTGGGCAGCAAGCAGCCAGTGGCCAGAGCTCGGGGTCAGCCAAAGATGATGGGCAGCCCCATCTCCTGGAGGAGAGAAAGCCACAAACGGCCCCTCCTGACCACGGCCTCCCAGAGAAACCCAGTGAGGAGGAGACCTGTGTCCAGGAGAGCAGCGAGGAGGGCCTGGCCCCTGATGGCGATGGAGATGCCAGCAAGAAGACCTACAAGTGTGAACAGTGCGGCAAAGGCTTCAGCTGGCACTCCCACCTGGTGACGCACCGGCGCACACACACAGGCGAGAAGCCCTATGCCTGCACGGACTGTGGCAAGCGCTTTGGCCGCAGCTCGCACCTCATCCAGCACCAGATCATCCACACGGGCGAGAAGCCCTACACCTGCCCCTCCTGCTGGAAGAGCTTCAGCCACCACTCGACGCTGATCCAGCACCAGCGCATCCACACCGGCGAGAAGCCCTATGTGTGCGACCGCTGTGCCAAGCGCTTCACCCGTCGCTCGGACCTGGTTACCCACCAAGGTACGCACACAGGCGCCAAGCCCCACAAGTGTCCCATCTGCAGCAAGTGCTTCACTCAGAGCTCGGCCCTGGTCACCCACCAGCGCACCCATACTGGGGTCAAGCCCTATCCGTGCCCCGAGTGCGGCAAGTGCTTCAGCCAGCGTTCCAACCTCATCGCGCACAACCGCACACACACCGGCGAGAAGCCCTATCACTGCCTCGACTGCGGCAAGAGCTTCAGCCACAGCTCGCACCTCACAGCCCACCAGCGCACCCACCGTGGCGTCCGGCCCTACTCCTGCCCACTCTGTGGCAAGAGCTTTAGCAGGCGCTCCAACTTGCACCGGCATGAGAAGATCCATACCACGGGGCCCAAGGCCTTGGCCATGCTGATGCTCGGGGCAGCGGGGGCTCTGGCGGCACCCCCACCTGCTCCCACCTAGGAGGCTGGGAGGGTGGGGGCAGGCCTGGGGGAGGAGCAAGGGCAGTTGCAGTGGCTATGAGGGAGGGCAAGGGAAGGGAGTTGGGGAGGTGCTGGCATGGGGACGGGGCATGGAAACAAGGGAAGAGCTAGAATGAGGCACAGGCACACTAGCTGCACATTAAAGGCCTTGGAATCAAGCCTCGGCCTATTGCTCTGTCTCGGGGGGCCCTGGTGACTGACCCCAGACTGTGGGAGGCTCTTGGGTCAACTATGTGTCCTCAGGCATCCCTGAGTCATTGCTCTTCCCTGGGGGCACCCTCTTCCCCAGCCTTGACCTGGCTTGGGCCCAATCCAGATGGTTGGGACCATAAGTCTCTAAGCAAAGACTTAATACAGATTTCAAGACCTGAATTCAATCAGCCACTTATGGAATTGTGGACCCCCTGGCAGATGGTCTGCTGTTGCAATCACTCTTGTCCCAGGGGCATTGCTCACTGAGCCCTGGACCCTCCCTTGGCTCTTTGGGAGCCAGGAGTGGGGCAGAGCCAGCATGGGAACCCATGCTCATTGTCTTCTGCCTGCCCTGTCTCCTGAGGCACCAGACCGAGTTTTGAAACTGGACATTTTCCATCTGCTTCCACTGGGGTCTGGCTGTAATCCAGTGAGGATTCCTCCATTACCAGGGACTCCTATTCCTCCTGGTCCCTTCTGAGGCTGCGGCCAGCTCCTTCTGCTAATTCTCCCCTCTTTGGTCTCTTTGCACATGCCTTTTATAATTTGCCCTACCCATGCTTGCCTGGCTATGTTACCCTGGCCTTATGGTTTTTTACCTCCGTAGTTTCTATTTCCCATTCTCTACTATTTTTCCTGGGAGGGGTGGGCTCAGCCTGCCTATTATACAAGATTTGCAGCTCAGCTCCCAAGAAAATATGCAGCTCTGACCTTGAGGACATCTGCATCAGGGAAGCCTTTGAGATCCCACCTGTCTCTGTGGATCATGGGGCCAGCAGGGTGGCTGCAGCCCTGTTTGGCTCCCAGCTCCTAAGGGACAAAGTTGCTTGAACAAGGGTGGACTGACAACAGTAATAATAGCTGCCAGTTGTTGAGCAGCTGCCCTCCCAGGCGCGGGGCCAAGAGCCATATATATGTCACCTCTGCTCTCCACAATGCTGAGCAGTGGGTTTTATCCTAGTTTTATAGATAAGGAAGATGAGGCTGAGAATAAAGTCCAGTAGCTTTCCCAAAGTCACACAATGAGAGAGCTAGAAGCTGGGGTTCAGGGCCAGGGATTTTACCATGTAAAGAATACTCCTGTTTCCATGCACTCCAGCAGCTATTGACTGTCTAATTAGTGCATGATATTATGATGCAGGGCTATCTAAAAAGAGTAAGACAGACAGTGGACTTAACCTTCTGGGGCTGTGGACTCAGTTGGAAATAGGGGGGAGGGGAGCATGTAATCAGCAGGACGCCAGGAAGCTGCTAACTAGTGGGAGCCCAGGCAGGACTTGGTGGTGTCTGGGATGTCTCAGGGGGATGTAGGGTTGGATTACTGGCAGGACCAGTCAAATTCAATGGCTCTTTATCAAAGAGGCAGGAAAGCACTTTCCTCCCTTTAGCTTGTCTTCATGGCTTCAGTCACAGCCAGAAATGGGATTTCTCTGCTTGGCTCAGTGTGAGAGGCTGAGGGAGCTGACGCACATAAAACAGTTTTGCTGCTCCCAGAGGCTTGTGTTCTAATGAAGGAGGAAGACAGAGGTGAGAAAGAGACTTGTTAAAACAACAGTGGGAGCCGTCATCACTTGGCACAAGCTTAGCACAGAGTATTCATTTGCTTCTTTGGGTTACACGGCCAGCACGTCAGAACTTGAACCACTTGGAGGTCTGTCAAGTGAGCCCAAAGAGCCATTTAAATCAAGACTTCACTCTGGCTCCTGAGGAGCTTGGAGACCATGGTATCCAGGAAAAACTGTTTCCCCTTTCCATAGCACAGTGCAGAGGGATGTGGTTCCAAGAACCCCACAGGTCTATGTCTACTTCTTCCTAGATACTCATCCAGAGGCCATCACTCTGGGACAGACCTGGCAAGAGCATTTTGGCAGTTTGGGAAATATCTGGCAAAAGCAACTAAAACGGGCGTTGTGGAAAGGCCTGGAATGTCAGGGTAAAGAGTGTTCATGATTTGGTGAGTGACGGAGCATCACAGAGGTAGACAGCTGGGAGTGGGGAGACATCAGGGTCTTGGTGTCTCTGGGTAGCGGTTGGAGGCTCAGAGGTGTGGCCTGCTTCCTTCTGGCATCTCACACCTGACATCCCACTGGAGAACCCGACCTGGTTGCTTACGGTTGACCTGTGAGGAAGAGGGTGAGGACGGAGGGGGAAGTGTTCCCTGTGGGCTTCCCACCCGCTTTCTGTTTGGCGGAAGGCGCTCTGGTCCCGGCTGGCCGCGCTGCCCTCCCCCTGCCGGGGGCGTAGGCCTCAGCACAGCGCCAGCCTAAACAGCTCCCGAGCTCAATAACACGCGTTGAGGTCTGGAGACCCACAGGGGTTTCATCTGGGGGCCAGCCACAGGGGGGCGCCTCACAGCCCGAGACACCGGTTCCAAAAGGCTCCGCCCCTTCCATTCAGTCCTTAGCCAATCAAGTTCCCGGGCAGAGAGGTCCTGGCAAAAGTGACCAATCATGGCTGGCGTTCTCGGAGCGGGCCTTTCCCCGCCTCCAAGCCGCACTGTTGCCGTGGCAACTTTTCGACCTTTTTGGCTTGTAAACTTTCCCTTTTCCCCTTCGCCTCGCGTCGGAACCAATGACCCGGGGCTGGACTCCTGGAATCGTCGCCAGCTCCTGAGCCTTCAGAGCCAGCCCTGGGTCTACCACCGAGATGCCAAGCCGCCTGTCAGCTTCGAGAGCATGCTGACAGAGGGCTAGGGCCACTTCCGGCCTTTCGCGTCGAGCCCCGTTATTTTGTTGCTGTCCGGGAGGCCTGGGGAGCCCGAGCTCCGCAGACACATCCGGCCTTGACGACGGTCGGCCAGCAAGCGGTGCCGGGGGGGTCCTGGATCCAGCCCGGACACCTCCCGCTGGCACTCTAGCACCTTCTGAGCTTGGCGCAGGGCCTGACGTTGCTGCCAGGGAGAGCCCAGCGAGAGTGTGGCAACGGCTTCGAAGGAGACCGCGGTCCACTTGGGGGTGGGGAGCTGGGTAAACCGAGGCAGCCATTGCGGGGGTGGGGGGGGGGGGGGGGGAGCTGGGGGTGGTAAAGGGCGGTGAAACGTTAAATAGGGGCTTTGATGCATTCACATTCACTTTTCAAGTATGAAAAAAATGCGTTCCAGGTTCTTTACTAAATGTTGAGGAATAAGCCATGAAAAAGGCAGACAAAATCCTTGCCCTCATGGGGTTGGCTCTACTGAGTGAGACTGGCAAGCAGATAAATGACACATTAATTTCAAGTAGTGATAAATGCCAGAAGGAAAGGACTGGGGTGAAGCAATAGAGGATGTTAGGAACTGATTGTCAGAGAAGGCCCCTGCAAGGAGGGAATATTTGAGTTGAGACTTGAAGAATGACAAGCCGTTTCACAAGTATTTGAGGGCAAAGCCTTCCAAGCTAGGAAAACAAAATGGATAAAGGCCCTAACATGAGGAAGAAATTGGTGTTCCAGGAGCTGAAATGACAACCCTGGTGGGAGGGAGGGGCAGGCAAGAGGGATGGCTAGAGAAGTGAGACTTGTGAGGGGCTGTGGCCTGAGGTTTGTCCCTGGTGTCCCATGGAGGGTGGAGAATGGGAGGTTATGAGAATGGCCCAGCCTTCCTTATGGTCCAGCCTGTGACATGTGGTCAGCAGGCTTCCTGCCTGGATTGCAAATGCAGCAAAAACCTCCTAGAGCACACGTTTTTGTTCTTAATTAACAAAGCTCTAGGCCAACCATGAAGATTAATACAATTGAACAGGCCACTGACCAGAAAAGATTGAGCTGAAATCTTCAGGGCAAAGTGCAAACGATGCCTGCAGGGCCTAACTCCTGCAGCCTCTCATGTACCTCATGCTCCTGTGGACATGCTCATATGACAGCTTCTTGGTGATAATTCCCTGGGACTAACCCCTCTTCATTGAGCACTTACTGTGTGATAAGAGTTAACACTGGGCTAAGTGGTCTACATGTATTCTCTCATTTAATCATTATAACAACCCTATCAGGTAGTCAATCAGTTAGGATTCTGTTCAACTCCAAATAACAGAGTCCCAAAGTAATAGGGTCTTAAACAAGACGGAGATGTATTTCTCAAGATAAGGTCTGGAGGTGGGCAGGAGGTAGGTAGCCTATGGCAGGACTGGTATGGGAGCCCTAATCCACCCAGTCAACAGAGACCCAGACTCCTAGCCTGCTGCTCTGCCAACATTAAAAGTGCATTCTCAGGATCCCAAAACAAGGTATAGGATTTAACCAGACATGCTGACTTTAAATTTTTTAATCAAATGGGAATATTATGTACAACTTTTATGTTAATAAATTTGAAATTGTGGATGAAAGGGATGAGTTTCTAGAAAAATAAAACTTATCAACATTTAGTAAAGAAATTTTGAATATTCAATGTCCTACAAGGAGAAATTATAAAAATAACTTTTTTCTATTTCTATTTTTTCCCCCATTTTAAACAAGAAGTTTGTTTAAATAACAAGACGCTTGACTTGAAGGAAAACTATCTAGGATTCATTTGTTTTAGAGTAATTTATCCCTACTTAAAGACAGATTGCCCTACATGTAACAGGTATGTAAAAAAGTTATAAAATGATAAATGAGGGCCGGCCAAGTGGCGCGATGGTTAAGAACTGGCTTAGGATGCCAGAGGGCCCCGATACAGATCCCAAAGATGAGGGCCAGTGACACTGCCCTCCACAGCTAAGATGCTGAACAACAGCTCAACCTGGAGCTGGGCTGCCGTGAGTCGCTGGCGATGGCGTAGGCTGCA